GGGCAGCCTGCTCCAGTGGCTGGCAACCCTGCCCACAGCAGGAGGGTTGAAACTAGATGATCTTTGAGGTCCTTTTCAACCCAGGCCATTCTATGTTTCCATTCTATGACAGCATTTCTTTGTGAATAAAATGGCCCAGTTGCTACATCACTTAGATAGTAATATGTCATCTCACAGGTGCTTATGTCTTCTCAATTTTTACTTTTGGAGTATTCATTTTTATATAATGTGCTGTGGGGAAAAATGTCTTGTTTCGTGTTCAGAGTATAACGTGCTTTCTTTGCCAAGATTCAGGCTGGGTCCTTTTGGAACATTTTTGAGACATTTTGTACTAGAACCCAATAATAGCAATCTATCTTAGAAATTGTTCCACAGCTGAACATTACAAACATACTTAAAAACCCTAGTAGTAGCCACAGGTCTTGTCAAACTCTCATAGGAACCATGGAAAAAAAATTCTATTTATTTGGTAGGAGTTGTATTTGGGTCCCAAAGTTTCACATTTCCTCTAATCATAAAGGTGGAATATGTAAAATTTATTTTTTTCTTTTTTTTTCAAACAGAGGTTTGTTGTTTTTTTTTTTTTTAAAAAAAAACAAATAATAAGTCTATGAAACAAGTATTATATGGCACATGAACACAAAAATGTATGCAGGGATTCCAAGTTGTATTCTGCAACTGCCTGGTCAGATCATGCATTCCTAGAATTTTAGTGGGAACTTGAAATTTTGGGCCCTCAGCTTGTGGAATCTGGAAAGTTGCTTGTTCACTGTATAACAGCAAGGGTGAGATGCCTTCTTAGCTTTACATTGTTTGAAATATCATTTGGTACAAGCATCAGTCCAGATGATACTAAGCAGAAGCGTATTTGCTCTTTTCATATAATCATAGAGTCATAGAATGGTTTGGTTTCTGTTGGAAAGGACCTTAGAGAGCATCTAGTTCCAACCCCCCTGCCATAAGTAGGGACAACTTCCACTAGACCAGGTTGCTCAAAGCCTCATCCAGCCTGGCCTTGAACACCTCCAAGGCTGGGGTATCCACAACTTCCCTGGGCAACCTGTTCCAGTGCCTCACCACCCTCCACCTAGAGATCGAATCTTTGACCACAACTCTTTGCTGGCACTTTAAAATCAATAGGATAAGATCTCTTCAACTCTAAAAAAAAAAGGCAGTGTAGGCAATGTTATGGAATTAAATGAAAATTACCTTAATAAAGAAAACAATTACACCGAAAGTTGTATTTTACAGGCTACTTTTAGATTATTTAAGAACAGTTAATTAAGAAGTATAATCAAATATATTAACTTAAGCCATTATACAATTTCAAAATGTTTCCAGTCTATATTAAAAGTTCACTCAATAACCCTCTTTAATGGACCCTGCAAAATGAATTCTTGTTGTTTGTTCCATCAAAATTTTAGGAAGCACAAAATTACTTTTAATTGGAAAACTAGTAGAGTTCTTGGCAAACATGTAAGCCACTGAATGTAATCTAAAGATGGCGATTAAGTCATTTTTCTCTCTGAATTTTATGTCCACTGTGTGGTCACATTCAAAGTCTTGATTGTGACTGACATAGGCCTTATGGAAGTCAATTTTTAAACAAGTTTTCCCTATCCATGAAATCATAATTCTTCAGCATCACTCAATTCCACACAAACTTAAGAAATGAAATAACATTAATATGCCTATAAAGGTATTTCCATTTGTCACAAACACTTGTCTACAGTTGATACTCTATTTACTTTGCTCACATATTTTATATTAGCACTGTACTGTAATTCTGAAAAACATCAGCACATTTCCCGTCAGTGCATCGTTCTTTAGGGTTAAAAGTATTCTTCTCATTCTAATACACAAAACCACATCAGGCTAACAAATTTGAAGTGAACAAGACTGAGCAGAGCATAAAACAATTCAGAACATGCTCTCTAAACCATTCTCAGGGTATGCAGACCGATTCCATCAGTAACTGGAAGGATTTTTTTTTAAAAAAGGGAGGCTTTATTTGACTGCACGTCAACATCTTAATCTCTGCTTAGTTTGGGCTGCTACTTTTAAATTACTATAAAAATACCTCTCCCTGCCCCCTCCCTCCCCCC